CAAGATAATTTGGCAACGTTCAACAACCTTAACACAGGTCACACCCAACCAGACGCCGATTCAAGCACAAGCGCAGTATTCGGCTTAGCAGTCCCACCATGGCACCAACCCCCCGTCATCGCGCCATCGATAATATCTCCCGACAAACATTCTTAGCCTCCTCAACGCACATCCAAAATATCTTCCCTAGTTGTCATCCACACCCTCCCTGGGCAAGCACTACATCGGGCCCGTAAGAACAAACCGAACCAATAGTCTTAGACTCCGACTTTCTAAAAGCCAAAATGGCGACCGCCTTCGTAGAGTTCAAATGGACGTCCGCATCCAAATGATCCACCAATTCCACGCCAAAGCCTCTGATATCGAGATCGAGCTGGTTAGAGCAATAATGGCAATAGCTCGCGGGAAAGCAGACTGCAGACGATGCAGGAACTTGAAGAGAACATGAAGTCGCTGAGGGCGTCCAAGGAGATGGAAAGGAAGAGGCTGCGCAATCAGGAACGGGATCTGATGGAACATCAGTTTCTTAGGCAGGTTGCTGCTAAGAAGGCGAAAGAGATGCGCGTCAATGTGAAAGCTAGCGCTGCGTCTTCGTCTTCCAAGATCCCTACCACGTAGACAGGCTGACGACGATTCATTCCGCTCCTATACTCCCCAATCACAAAGAGAACCTCAGCACGGACAGCATCCCCACCGCGCCAAAACCTGATCCTCCTAGTATTCCCGAGAAGTCTACCAGCACACGCTCTCACACTCACTCAGGATATCTTGCCCGGTTTTGACGAAGCTGCGAGATTGGTTGACGGCATATTGCACCCTAACGTTGGTTCAGTGGCGGTCGAAGCTCTAGGCCAGTCGACAGAACGCAATTCAAGACGACCGAACAGAGAATAATAAATATCGGAAATGAACAGTTGGGTCCCAGTCCACCGTCCATACTCACTGGATTCAGTCGAGTGCACGACTACCACGCATTGTCCACCCACGTCGCATGTGAGCCTCATGGCAAGCAAAGTCCCTTACTTTGCAGTTTTTTTCCATAATATTAATGTCCTGTGAAGATTCTTATTAAGAGCAAGGGCGAGCAATGATTACTGCACCACAACCACGTTCGATCATTTGCGTGGAGCATCGCACACCAAAAGGTCAACTGGAAGTATCTCGATCATAAGATTCGCATGAGAGTCGCAGTACGAGACCGTGTAAGTGAATCTGTAATGCACATCTCGTAGGAATGCAGACGGCGATTTCATCTGCCGGGTCTTGAACGAAGAGTAAGCTGCCAGCGAGGTTTGATCTCAATAATGCTCCAAACGGGTTTGACTCAAAGTCTCGACGCACCTGGTGTTATTTTATAAAGATACCAGGTCAGATAGTCCTGAAAATCAGACCGTCCGTGCTGAGTGCTACATAGTGCTTCAGACGCAACGTCATCCAGGAAGTAGGCTGCTCGCTGTTGACCGTTTTGCAAGGAGTTTAAGCACCAACGAACCATGTATACGTTGATCCATGGGTTGGGAAATCTTGGCGCTGGCGGGGGGTATAGTGTATTGTCGATGTCAAGCCCAAGGACTGATCTGTGAGACGCTTCAGAGTGTGCGATATGTACCATGCGGATACAAATCTCACCTTCTTCAGCTGTTGGCATGACGGGTTAGGGTACGCAAATTATAATATGAACGAAATCGGATTATCTCGATTTTTGTGCCCGAAAATTACTAGCGGAAATAGCACGCAGTTGCTAGCGAAAGCGTTCGTGTTCAACGTTCAACTCCTGACTTATATGATACACGTTGCACCATAGGTTTTAGGGCTAAGGGGTTCCAAGTTCTGCCCCTGGCCAGACCAATAGAGTTGGATGGCATAACCGATACATACCGGAAATCGATCAGAATAGAACGCGTCGAAGCAATGACGTACAAAATTGTGTACCATTTGGTAATCTTCCGCACTTGTCGTACGGTTGGGTACGGCAAAGCTATGATAGTATCAGTGCTAGCCATGGTAGCCATCAAGTACAATTAGGGTGATGTACATCCTGTGTCTGTATATTTGAGACACATTGTCAATCAAAAAGCAATGATCGAAGTCGAAAAAAGGTAAATAACGGCTGAACAGGAAGCCAATCTCACATACTCAAACCACCTTCTTGCCCTCTTCAGCAGGGTTTCGTCGCTCGAGGACCTCAACCCACTTCTTCGGGAACCACCCTTCGCGGCCCTCGCGTGTCCGACCTTTCCACCACTCACTCTCCACCTCCAGCCGTGGGTCCACCTCCACACCGGTGCTGGGATCCAGCTTGCCCATGATGGCGACAATTTCATTCTCCTTGAGCGCAAGCTCGGATGGAGATGAAGGCGTGAATGGATATAGTGCGCGTGCAAATGTAAGAGTTGATGGGTCAAGGGGGCCCAACGGACCGGGGCCAATCTGGGCCTGCTGCTGTTGCACAGCACGCTCATTGAGAATTTTTATGAGCTTCATCATGGCATATGGAATGCCGAAAATAGCGAGTAAAAATATGATGATGGGTTTTCGGCTGGGCTTGACAGCAGGGGGACCCATCGGACCCTGAACGGGCTTGCCACTGACGAATTCTCTAAATTCGCCCTGTATAGAGCTTGTAGAACTCTGGCGCCCCGTGATGAGCTCCTTCATCCACCGTAAAAGACCGAACAGGCCTAATACACTTCCCAAGGCATTGCGGAGGTGGCTGAACTGCTCGATGACGCCGACCATTGCGAAAAATGAGCTATGCGTCGCCATGAATGTTGATTCGAGCATTTGCGCTACGCCCGAGAAGGTCTGGACGATGGAGTGGAGAAGGGAGAAGGTGTGTTGGGTTGTGGTTTCGAGGGTCTGTGTAAGGGAAGGATTGTTGGGATCCATACCAGGATACATGCCCGTCCCGCCCATTCCGCCCATTCCACCCATGCTGCCCATTCCACCCATGCCGCCATACATGCTATTCATGCCATAACCACCGTACCCACCGTACCCAGTACCGTAGGCGCTGCCCATTCCGCCATAACCACCGTACATACTCGAGCCGTATGGTGAGGTGTACGAGGACCCAAGGCGCGAATATGGCGAATATGGAGTATTGTAGGATGACTGCAAAGAATTATAGGGTGATGCGATAGATGTAGATGGGTTGGAGAACGCTGGGGGACGTGCAGGCACTGAAGGAGGTTCTGGTGAAGAGGAGCTCGTCGTAGCTGAGGGTAGCGTAGTAGGGATAGTCGCTGCTGGGGCTGCTGCTGCTGCGCCCCGCTCCCAAGGTTTAGGTGGTGAGGCCATCACCGTTCTCACCGTCGACGCTAACGATGACAAGAGACAAGAATGCGTGTGAATCTGCGACACCGGCTAATGCCGGCTAATGACCCAAAATCACATTTTCGTATGAGGTGGTCTCTATAACTGGCCTACTGGCATTCCAAATTGCTGTTCACAATTTACGATTCAAGTAGCCATCATGACGGTGAAATCCACAAAAGTTTAAACCATTTGGTTCGTGGCCAGCAATATGGATCGCCTGTGTTCACCGAATCACCATGTCCCACCGCGCCAGCGCAGCAGTTGCCAGTAGGTGTCTCCCGGTCATAGGGCCTGACATGGGTAGAGGTTGCCCGGGTACCCGCCCGGGTGGAACCCACGGGTGGGGTGCGGGTCGGGTGCTACGGGTTACGGGTTGGCTTGGGTGCTGCACCCGGGCGGGTACGGTCATCGACATCCAACTTTCGAAGCTACCCACGGGTGCCCGCGGGTCACTAGTAGTATGGCAGTGTTGAGCTTTGTACCTGGTCGCCTCGCTGTACATTGACATCAAGTGCTGTTGTAGCCGACATCAAATGACATAGCAACTTTGACAACTTTGACAAGTACTTGCCGAAGCTTGCAGGCTGCATCTTCAGAAGTTCAGCCTCGTACTAACTATGTGGGTCTACCGAAAATTTGCTAACAGTGATAGGCTAGATTTTCGGGCTAATCGCCCGAGTTCAATACCTTTCGACCTATGAGAGAGCAAAACCCGAGACTCGAGAGTTCGTGAATTCGTGTGCGGTATGTCTCCCTCAGAACCTCGAACTCCTTCCAAACGGACCAGATCACGAACTCGAAGCAATACAGATTCGCCAGCACCAGTTATACTCTCCCCTACCAAACCTCGTGAATCGGATTCCAAAGAGAAGACAGACATTGATGTTTGGGACCTACCGGATGCCGAAATTATTCATAAGCTCAGCCTACAGTCTTGCAGTTGTTGATTTAATCACGATTCAGATCACTCGCGCACACGATGGAAGTCAAAAGTTTACAATCATTACGATGTCTCGTTGGAGCGCCACCGTCGTGGGGATGGCAATCCCGACTATATTCTCTACATATTTACGTGCCGTGTCGATCCAACTAGCCATCGCCACAAGCGAAAACGCATGCAAAATGGACAGGGGACGAAAAACCTTCAGCGTGGGGTAGACGAGTGTGAGACACGGCGTGGTGTTCAGGCTGGTACCCTGGATTCTGTTGGCGCACAACAAACTCTCGAAAATTCAGTGTCATCTTACACACAAGCTGCACACCGTGCGCTAATTGCTTTGCACTGTGCAGTTTCAAAGCGCCCATTCAACTTTGTCACTGATCCACACTACATTGCTGAAGTCCAGCTCCTTCGACCAGGAGTTATTATCCCCAACCCCCGTACTGTTGCGCGTGACGTGTCCGCTATCTATCTCGAGGGATCGAAGCAAGTCAAAGTGTATTTTTCCGTACGTCTTTCCTTTTTGAATAAGATCTGTCCTGAATTTCTTCGATGCTGTATAGAAACACGTTGGTTCCATCCACCTTGTGATCGATGGATGGACTTCCCCTTTCGCTGCAGCTTACTTGGGATTGGTTGTAGTTTGGTTGGCGCAGGGAATTATCTACTGTACTATACTCGAGTTCATCCGGTGAGTTTTTCAATCAAATTGGTAGCACCGTGATTCTCATATGTTGTGGTTAGGCTTACACAGAGTCACACTGGATCATACCTCGCACGAGTCACAGCGGATTGTCTGAAACGCTTTGGATTAGAGAAAAAGCTACATACTCTTACTATGGACAATGCGAGTAATTGTGATGCGACGGCAGAGCACCTCGTGACCTTAATTGATGGGTTCCGTGGCAAGTTGTCCAGGTCTCGTTGCTTTCCACACACAGTGAACCTCATAGCGAAAGTACGTGTTTCTTCTCCTGACTTCCTGTCTGCTCCAGGTATGTGATGTGGATGACTGTAACAATGCATTTTGACTGTGGCGTAAATCAGCGTCTTCTGTGGATGCAGAACGAGCATTTTCCTGCGGTTGTCTGCAGGTCAATCACCTTCAACACGGCATCAGCTCACAGGCCTTTAAGGCCCAGATGGCCATCGGTTCGTGGTACAAGACCCCGTTCTTGGACGACAAAATCGCTACTCGAATCCTCAGCGAGAGCATGAAAAGAGGCAAGAAGGGAAAAGGTAAAGCTCGACAGGATGCTGGCAGTGATCATGATCGAGATAATGTCGTAGAACTCGATAGTGACTAACTCCGGCATGTTTTAGTTCACTTGTACTAGCGAATTTCATTGACTCGGATGCTACATGATAATGAGTAGACGTACAATGTACCCGCGGGTGACCTGCACACCCGCAGGTAACACCCACGGGTGACCCGTACCCATTCCACTTGACCCGGGACGGGTACGGGTATGGCCCAAAAACTCAACTGACCCGCGGGTAATACCCGGGCACGACCCGGGTCGACCCATGTCAGGCCCTACCCGGTCATGACCTACGCATCCTTTAGGTAGTATGTTGGCTGCTGCGGTACGCGTAAGTACTACAACTATCCACGTTTCAAAGTTTGATAGGACCTTTTGTTTCAGGGACTATCCCACAAACCCCACAAGTTCGTGCATCTTCTCCTTTGCGTTGCCTCACCAACATTTTTTTTGCGGGAGCGGCTGGGGCAACGTTCTGCACAGAAATCATGGTAGACTAATTTTAGTCATTATGGCACTTGGGACTTGCTATGGCACTTGGGACTTGCACACGTTCTTGTAAGCTGCTTCTAATTATCTTCAGCATACCATCGCTGCTCACATGATCACATAGGCCTGGATTTATGCCTGGTTCACTCGTGCAGAGTGAGTAGAGCTTCGACTTGGTCCCTGCTTGAACATGAGACTTGGATCCATCAGCACAGCACTCACTGCTTGTCTCGGCCTCAACCAAGCATGCCGACGTACCGCGGTAGATGCTAATTTGACTACATGGCAGCCGCACGACCTGAGAATGGAATCTGCAATGCCAGTCGTGCCATGAGCTCACTATAATGATATCTGAACGTTGAACACTACATGCATTCCGTGCAAAACTCAATTAAGATTCCAGGATGTAGGTGCATTCTCTGTTTAAGTGTCTCACTTGATATTATTTGATATATGTATGCCTTTCAGAAAGTCAGCAGGACCGGTTGAAGACGATGCAAAAATGCACTGCTCAACTCGAGCACCGTCATCAAAAGTGGAAGCGTATCGAGAATGAAGTGAGCAATCGCTTTACTACTCCTTGTTAGTCAGGTCACAGATTTCTATTAGAACGTTGATTGACGCCAGGGAATATCAGGCCTGGGTTTAGGAACTAGCGCACCCTGTCGGAAAAGCTATCTTTGGCAGCGCTTGCAAGGTGAATGCGACCCTCTTTAGGGACAGATCCCGACAGAAGGTTCGTTTACTGCCGCTTACGAGGTCCTGGTACTTGTCAGGTGTCCGTTTGCGCCTATCTACCACTCGATAACCTTGTTATGACTAGATAATTTTTTGCTCGATGCATGCATGATATGCATCACACTCGACTGCGGGGCCACTTCGAATTGTAATGTTGTTGCGCACATGGTTTTTCGGTCTGAAAACCATATTATTATTATTATTATTATTATTATTATTATTATTATTATTATTATTGTTATTATTGTTATCATTATTATTATTACTATTAAGACAACATCGATGACGTCGTATGTTCACGCCAAGTTCATGCAGGTAAGTTACATACCTTTCTGCTTTGAGAGTGTTGTCCATGAAACATTCGTCTTTAATTCAAGCAAATTCCAGGCAGGTCATCGTCCTGCATGTTAATCAATGGCCCTTGCTCGCTATCTGTCATACGCACAGCGTAGAGGTGCGCCTGTATCACTTCTGACGACGAAAGAGGGAATGCGAGTTGTCTGAACTTTGCGGACTTCCGTTGTTCGTACACGAACCTCACTGACAAAATAGGACACGGACAAAAACAAGGAATCTTACTCATTCATCAGTCCACGTCCGAGTCTAACTTACCACTAACGTACAAAACAAGAATGGCTGCGTTATATGGAGCATACTCACTGACCATCGACTAGATCAGCCTTCCACATCATTCGCATCTGCTCTTCCCTAGCTAAAGATATACTCCGTATGGAGCACGGAAAATCTTTAGGGTGGCTGTTGCGCGTCAGATCCTCTGAGATACATATAAGCAAAGAAAGAACCAACATCGCAAGACCACTCGTGAATTCCGGCTTGACGTCAATGTCCTTGCCATCCTCGTCTTTCGCGTTTGCGATCTCGACGGTTGACAAAATTGACACGACAGACGCCCATAAGGCGTTGTCCGCGAAGAAACGACCTGGACAAATTCTCCTGTAGGTGACATCAGCTACATTGTCCCAAATCAAAAAGAGATTATGAACCTTCCAAATCCAAAACTGAAATGACTGTATGTGGGCTCATCTTTCAACTCTCCGTCTGCAGTCAAGTGTCGACCAGGATCAAAATGTGATGGGTTGTGATAAATTTCCTCGTCGTGACCCATCGCCCTGCGGGAGGAATTAGCCACTGCAAAGACCATGACGACGACAATGATCGTCTGATGCCTACCATGCATTCAACAATACCACGGTACCTATGAATCCGTTTGAGGAATATGATCAGTAGCAAGCGATGCTGATAGTAGAACACCTTTGGGAATGAAGAAGCCATTATAAAAATCATCGCATGAAGTTGCATGCGGAATGCCTAACGGATACATGTCAGATTGACTTCGCCGCTTTCCTTCCCTAGGGCTTACTGAGGGGTACAACGGGCTCCCATCTGAGGATTTCACGACAGATAGCCTCTATGTACGGGAGTGAATTCCTATCATGGAATGTTGGAATTCTGTCGCTTCCGCATACTGCATCAATTTCCGCTCTCGCGCGAGTCTGAACTTCCGGATAGAGAAGTAACGCCAGTAGCAACATGTTTATAGTTGATGAGGTCTGCAATTCCCAATTATAAGGACTTCTTCACGAGGAAAAGCGATCTATGTTACCGTTTCAGATCCGGCTGAAGAGTAAAGTGTTTACCGCCATGAGAATTTCAAGGATAATAAGATGCCTTACCAATGTATGCAGTTGCAGCAACCTCCTTCATCGACTGTTCATGGGCACGGACATGACTTTCGTCCCCCTGGCTTAGGAAGTCTGATACCATAGATGGACGGGCTACCCCCTCCGCCTGATAGAGAAATTAAACAGTTTTCCTCTCAGAGTTGAACGTACTCACCATTTGTTTTTTGACATATTCAAAGGGCTTTTCCATGACTTCCTTGACCAGTATACGGCACTCTGGGGCTTGCTTCTTGTACTTTCCACCTGGAATAAAGGACGGAAGCCGATTCACTGAAAAGTGTCATATTCAAATCCGATCCCGACACAATGCAACAATAAACTACTCACGAAAAGGGAAAAGCATCATTATGGCTGCTTTTTCAGGTGTTAGGACATGAGTGATTATCCTAATGACCTTCTGAACGGAGGTTACGAAGGGGTCATCTCTTGGCTTGGTCTCGTATCCATACGTGACTGCCATTACGAGGGACGCCGAAAGTCTATGCTCATATCAGAATCACAGCAGACAGTGATAATCGCTAGTCACAGACGTGTTGAGGTGTCCTTGCATATCTTTGGGGGCATCCAAAAGATTAGCAACGAGTTCGTGAGCCTTACGGAGATACAGATCCTGGTATGAATTCGATGCTTCGATACGCAGGACCTGATGGTAAAGTTTGCGGTGCATCCGAAATGTATCACCGTATGGCATGAGGGCAGTGTTGAATGACAATCCAAAACTGTTCTCTGTTGGTCAAATCATGGCACTCATTGATCAATCGACGTAATCCGGACGTACTACTCGTTCGTAGCGATGTGGGGACGGTCAGAATATATCGCCGAGCGTCTGTCCACAACGGTCCGTGCAACATGCTCGGAGTTGATTACGACGAAGTGTTGACCAAGGAAGCGCGTGTATACAATGTCACCTAAAATTCGAGACTGAGTTGCAAAGCATGATGAAGACAGATCAACCGACCATACTGCTTTCCCCACTTAGCGTAAGTTAACCATGGACGAGCTGTATCAATGTCAAGGGCATTTCCTACGAATGGCAGCAGGCGCGGTCCAGGTGGAAGTGGCATACCATTCGCCTTCCTTCGAGTGGTGCGCCATGCTTCTGCGATGGAGATTGCGCAGACGATGGCTAAGAAAACGATGTAGTTCTTGATCATAATGGATGATAAATGCACGTTCCAGAAAGCCCATCTTTATACTTACCTAGTCGTGACTGGTGCGCGCCACTGTGTCAAAGCGATATGCAGGTAAGTTCGATGCTAGTCTTTTTATGCGAGCTCGGGGGAATACTTGCCTAGTCGTGATTCAATTGGTATGCGCTGTTCTGTCAAAGCGATAGTATACAGGTGCGTTCCAAGCTAGTCTATTTGCGCGAGCTCAGCTCAGGGAGGCAGACCACGTCTTGCAAACCAAGTGTTCCGTATGCAGATATCTGCCTAATCTAGTGAGAATAGCCGGTCGTTTACATGAAAGCGTGTAAGTGATTCAGGATGAACGCTGAAATGAAACATTAAAGCACTAGGCCCTGGAGTCGTCCAGACCAGCAGAATCGGCATTTGCCGAAGAACCTATCGGACTATTTATCTTCATGTAGTGCGTGCTGGACAGTCTACTAAGTGAGTTAGTATGGAACTTCAGACAGTCACTAGTCATTCATTATAATCTGGCCATAACTCATATACTTGTAATCACCTGCATGACCACTCGAGCTCAGCCCTGCACTCTCCTCTGGCTCACCTGTGTCCTCACTGCTCGGCGCCCAGCGGTCAACACCAATCCAACTATCAGTCTAATCTCCCCCAGGCAGACCTTAGACGAATGAAGACAGTCATTCCTTCTCTACTAAGATTCGGTTACCTTTTTGAAGGATTTTATGACTGGAAAAATTCTGCTCAATGCATCGCACTCGGGATAGTACTGGTCAATTGCTAGTTCGACATAGTGGTGTCGAAATATTGCAATGTGAAACGCCCGGTGATAGGGTCAGCCTCATGCCTGTTTCAAACTTTCAATCATGATACCTGTTCA